TTTTTGGTTCCAGGGACCTGCCCTGTCCCTTACCCCGTCCGGGCGACCTGGCAAACCAAGCTGACCCAGGCGACCCGCTGGTAACACAGCTTGGCCCTACTGACATGGTCCAGGTCCAGATCGGTACATTCCCACCAAGCTGGTCCAGGTCCAGGCCCAGGTTCACATCGGTGGACTTAGAACAGAACCACTTCCTTCCATACATTTAGACCAGGTCCAGAATCGCCACGTGCAGGCCAGGTCCAGGTCCATGCATCAAAACTTGGGGGAGAGGGGGGGACTGACCTGCGCATTGACGAGGAATTCGCCATAGAGCTTGGGCTCGCCTGTGCTGGGGTTCCTTGTGAAAAGCACACCCGTGCCAGACGTGTTTCCCATGTTGCCATACACCATGGCCTGTACATTTACCGCCGTGCCCTTCAGGCCTGTGATCTGATTGATCGTACGGTACTTGATGGCTCTGGTGCTGTTCCACGAGTTAAATACCGCAGAGATGGCGTGCCTCAACTGCTCATAAGGTTCTGTATCAGATACCCATACCCATCCATACCCCCCAACCACAACCACACCAGATAGCAAAACAAGCACCCCCTTCAAACCCCTCTTCCCTCACCTCCTCCCATCCACACACACACACACACACACACACACACACACACACACACACACACACACACACACACACGCAAAGCACTACTCGTAAGCACCACACGCCAAACATAGTAGCCATCACAACGCCTTAAACAATGTAGGGAAAGGACAAAAGGGGGAAAGGCAAGGACAGAGACCCCCAAACACATTGTATAACGCACAAATGAGATCAACCACAGAAGCAGATCCCAAAGGGGTAGAGCTGTCAGAACGGGTGCATCATTCTCTATCACCCACATCGACAAAAGCTAGAAGGCCCCAGTCAGTGCTCCCTAAACCCAACAAACGCTAGAAGGCCCCCGGTCAGGGCTCCCTAATCACCATCTGTAACCCCTCAGGTACCCACCCACTTGCACTTGCACTTGCACTTGCACTTGCAAGTTCTAACCCTGATCCCCACCAACTTGCACTTGTACCCCTCATGTACCCACCCCCTCGCACTCGTTTCCCTCAGATATACTCCCCAACTCGCACTTGCACCCCTCAGGTCCCCAACCCACTTCCACCTCTAACCCTCAGATATACCCACCTTCTTTTTTTTTTTTTTTTTTTTTTTTTTTTTTTTTTTT